GTGGGTGCCGGATTCGGTTCCGGCACGGCCGCTCATCGTGCCCGCCCTGCTCCCGCGGTTTACAGCGGGCATAGAGCTGTCCCCTGCACGTCTCCCCGGCGCGTCTCCTGTCCCCTCTTCTCCTTTTAGACTCAGCACCGCCACTGGGCCGGCCCGAGCTTCACGCCTCACGCGGGCTCCCCTTCTCCCGGCACCGGGGCACCGGCACCGCAGCCCAGGTGAGTACCGTGCGGGTGGCTCGCGGTGGAACAGCCGGTGGCCGCGATGTAATCAGGCCGCGCGGGATTTCCGGGTTTCGGAGCGAGAGGTATTAGACTGTGGCTTTGGGGAAAACGCTGCAGTCAGAGGTGGTGGATACGCAGGGCTCACCGACGTCTGCCCCATACCGCCTTCTCGCTCCTTTCCTCCCTGCCGGACTGGCTCATTGGCCAGGGTCATATCGGGGTCACGTCCTGGGAAACTAGCTGTGGGTGAGGAGTGGCATGGACTTGGGAAAAGGCGTCTGGCACTTCAGAAATCCAGCATTCAGTCGGGAGCTGTCCAGCTTGCAATGAAGCCCTGGGCTGGCTCTAGTCTAACCCGACTTGCTTGAGGCTACCAAGAAGGGAATTGAGATAGAGAAGGCCTTATTGGAAGGGTGAGGCATGCAATGCAGGCACCTCCTCATCCCTCCCCCTTGAGGACTCTCTGAAGGATCCTAAGTGGACTTGGACCTCAGCATCAGCTGGTCTGTGACTCTAAATCCCACATTGAGTTATAGGCTGAGTGGAGTGAGCTGTGGCCTCTGTCCCACACTGAGGTCTGGCTGGCACAGTCTTCATCTTTTCTCTCCCTGGTCTTGCCTCCAGTGGGTTCATAGATTCCAGGGCTCTGGGGGTCCCAGATCACAGGACCCCGCTGGAGAACCAGTTAGGGCCCCACAGGGCAAGTCAGGACTGTGGAATAAAGCCTCAGAGTGTGAAGAAGGGTGACGGGGATCTGGTGGCAGCTGCCACATCCACAGTGACAAGGGTCATCCTGGGCACAGGCTGTGCTCTGAACACCATAGGTCTTGCCTCTGGTTGGTCCCCAAGGGATGGAGTGGGACAGGGCAAGGTCCTTGTCTGGCCAGTGGCCCCCGTCCTGAGCAGGCTCCTTAGGTACCACCCTCACTTCATGAGCTGTGTCTGAATCCAGCTAGGGATGCTGACTTTTCTTGGACTCTGGCTCAGGAAGTGGTCACCTCCAATCACCTTTCCTTCATACGATCATGAAGCAGCAGACCTCCTGGTCCACTCACCTTCCTGGCCCCTCGCCAGGGGGTGGACCACGGCTGGGAACCCTGTAGCGAAGGCTCGTCTCATGCCAGCCTAATCAGACCTGCACGACATTGACGCTTGGGCTGCCACCATCTTCCTGGGCAAGAATAACTTTGGTCCAGTCTCTCTAGCTCTTGGTTTTCCTATCTGTAAATTGGCAACAGTGGGACCACAGGCAGCCCACCTGTCTTGCTAAGGTAAGTCAGAGGGTGGCCCGAGACAATGGGGGTGATAGGGCCTCAGAAAGAACTTTTACTCTGCTTGTTTCTATTGTTAGTGCCCAGTGAATGGGCAAGTTCCTCCCCTGCTCTAACTAAATCTCAGTTTCCTCATTTGTAGAGTGGGTTTATGGAGGTTTGGACTAGTTGATTTCTCAGGCCCTTTCAGCTCTGATGGTCTCAGTTATATATATATATGTAATTGGTTTCAGAGAGGAAGGGAGATGGGGAGAGAGATAGAAACATCAATGATGAGAGAGAATAATCGATTGGCTGCCTCCTGCACACCCCCTACTGGGGATCAAGCATGCAACTGGGCATGTACCCTTGACCAGAATCGAACCTGGAACCCTTCAGTCCAAGACAGCACTCTATCCACTGAACCAAACGAGCTAGGGGTGGTCTCAGTTTTTGTTGGAGGAGGGGAAATGTCTGGACAGTGGGCAGGTGTTTGAGGTCAAGTTTTTGGAATTGTCACTGAGACTTGAGCGATGGCTCAGTACTTCACCAAGTGCTTTTCATTCAGCATGGTACCTACACCTCTCAGCCCTGAGAGAGTGCAATGAGACTGTCATCGCCAGTGCATAGCAGAAAGAACCGAGGCTTGTCCGAGGGCACAGAACCCGTGATGGTCCCTCTCTTCATTACTCTCCCCAGTGGGATGGGGGAGGGTGCCAGTGGAGGTGGTGGCTTTGGCAAGAGAGAGCCCACTGCCCTATCTTGGGTAGCTCTCCGGTAGAAAGAAAGGCCAGCTGGTGCTTCTAAGCTGAGTTTCCTTGTCTGTGCTGAATTGAGGGGCATCTGTAACAAAGTCAGGCTCCTATTTTACTAGCTTGTCAGTCAGCAAATCTCAGTTCCAATCCCTTTACTCCCATCAGCAGCCCTGTGACGTTGTGCTAAGTGGTTTGCTTGTAGGAGTTTCTTCATCTTAAAACAGGAACAGTCATGCCTGCTTCTCAGGATTGTTCTGAGGCTCCAAAGATGAAGCAAGCATGTCATTTAGATGCCCTCTGAATGTTCGATGCTGCCCTTGGGTGAGCAGCAGTGCCAACTAGGAAAGGATGCTATCCCTTTCTCTGCTTTGGAAGTTTTAGACCCTCGACAATGAAAAGGGTTTGGTCTTGAGACAGAATTTTCTCTTATTTGAGAGTTTATTCTCTAGAAAGTCTGGCGAACACATCCTCTTGGTCTTGCTCCCAGAGATCCTGTGTGGGATGCAGGGGACTGTGGCATGGTCATTGGCAGAGACACGTGCAGCAGGACAGCTGTTCTCTCCTGGAGCCTACGCTCACGGACCCTGGGGAGAACTTGGAACACAAGAGTCGGACACCCAGCTGACTCGCACAGACGCAGAATGGCTTAGACATGTGAACAGATGTATGTACACACACATACGCACACCCAGATACACACATGCATTTTAGCCCAGGGACAAGCGTAGATTTATAATAGGGACACAAGGACTTGCACCACTAGGTCGGATAGTCATAGATATTCATATTCACACAAACCAACACACAATGAACATACAGGCATGTGTGTCCATGGGAACCTACGCAGAACCTACGCAGAAGCTGAAATGGGCTCAAGTAGGCATTCCTTCCACGACACAGAAATACACGAGACTTACAGGCCTTTGGGGTCACAAGCATGGAGGCTCTCAACCGGCATGCGAATTCACACAAATAGGCACAGCCTCGTGTTCATACATCTGAGCATAGAGCCAGCCTCGTCCATTCACCTCGCCCCACTGCACAGATATAAAGGGGCCCACCCCGCACATGACATAGACACACACATGTACCTGCACCCTCTAGGAACGAACACATCTGCCCGGGGATCAGAAGAGGAGGAAGGGGCATGCCTCGCCCAGAGTTTGGTCCATGTGACTTGGCAGCAGCGCTAGTCTCAAGGAAGTAGGAAAGCCCTTTCTCTTCATATTCTGTCACTCCCCTTGTCTGTGGAGGACGGTGCCCAGCCAGGCCGCCGCCAGGCTCAGAGGCTCCCAGGCCTCTCTCCCCAGCCGGGCCCCTGCCCAGCCCACTCCCAGGCCAGAAGCTGCAGGGCTTTCCCAGAGTGGCTTGGCCTCCGCCAGGCTCTGGAGTGTGACCGAGCGCCTGCTCATTTGACACAGGTCACCGAGCCTCCAGCAGATGGGGCCCTCACTGTGGGGGGTCTCTGAGCCAGAGGGGCTGCCGGGAAGGCTCTGCCAGGCTGACTGGCAACTACACAAGCTCAGCCCCATCTCCTTTCTCTGCAGAGCCCCGAGTTACAGACACAAATCTCTTCCATCTACATTCAGACACAGCCTCTAGATCTCAGCGACACTCCCCATGAGCACCCTTTCGGCCACATATGCGCTGTAATATTCCAGATCCCCCCGCCCCCCCTAGATAAGGGAGCCTGCACAATGGCGCGCCCAGCAAGATTTGGGAGGGAGGAAGAGGGGGCAGCTGGGTCTGGTTGCCTTCCCTCTCTGGACTGTGAGCCCCTGTGCTGTGTCTTGTCAGTCGGTCAGTGAGGACTTGGAGTCCAGGAATCACTGAGAGTAGATGCAGTTGCAGACCTAAGGCCTTTTTAGTTCTGGGGGAAGACAGGCTTCAGGACACTCCGCCTGGATTCCTTGAAGTCAGGAGTGCTGAGAAGAGCTGGAGAGGGAGATTGAGGCCCGGGGGGAGGGTTGCTGAAGGAGCTGGTGTTTTAGGAATGCCCTCTAGTACTCGAGGGCTTTGAGTCTTTGTCCCCGTGTGGGACTAGGCTGGGGGTGGACAGGCCTGGGGGCAGGGACAGGATGGCAGCACTCACAGCTCACTACCTTTCCCTTCTGCCAGTCTTCCCCTTATGCCCTAGATCCCACATTCTCAGAGTGGCAAGAGATCTGGGTGCCATCTTGGCTCAGATTCAGGCCTGCTGGATGACACTGGGCCAGTCTCAGCTTCCTAATTGCTGCGAACCTCAACCTCCTCATCTGTCAGCTGGGCAGATGGTCTCTGTTGGTTTCTTGTGAAGGCGGGGTGAGATGACTGCCCAGGTGGGAACTTGGAAAGGGGAAGTGTGGCTTGGTTTTCCTCCCCAGCTGCCTGGGGTGAGTAAGAGGCTATGTGAGCAGGATCAGAACCCGCCTGCTCCCCCAACCAGTTCTTGCTAAGCAATGTCAGGAGTGACCACGCCCATACCCTGTAGTTCTGGCCTGGAATGTTCTCGATTAGAAAAGTCTGGCAGGATCCCGGCTGTCACAGATTCCCACCGGGGCCGGCGCCAGGGTCGGCTTGTCCATCGGCTGCCTTGGTGCAGCTTGGGGGGTCAGCTAAACAGATTCACTGTACTCACCACCATCCAGAAAGTTCTCCCACATGGCACGTGATTGCTGTTCTGAGCTCCCAAGCCCTCACCTACTCCCCCTCCAACCTCAGACCCTCCAAGTGTCTCTAGGTCTCCTGTCCTTCCTGTGCCTGACAGAGCCCCTAAGAGAGGAGTGGAGGGGATGGAAGGGCCGTGCTGCCTTTGACAGAGGAGAAACAAGCCTTCTCCCTTATTTAACCTGAACTTCCCTAGCTCTCAGCCTTGGTGAAGGGAAGGCGAGATAGAAGGTGAAATATCTCTTAGGGATGAACCTTTCCTTGCTTTTCCCTCCCTGCCTCAGCCCCCTTGGCCTGTGGGTGGAGGTGGGGGTCCTCCCAGCGCATCAGTAGAATATTCAAA